CTTAGCGGCAATCGCCAACTTCTCATCTGAACCGCCAGTTGCAATGACTTTAGCACCTAATGCCTATAGCAAAAGAATATATACGAGTTTAATCAATCAACATTACCAAGCGTCCGCATAAAATACAGAAGCATATTGTCACCTTTGCAATTTGTACAGCCGCGATCCCAACTCCACCAGCCCCTCCGTGTACAAGACACCATTCATCTACAATAACCATAATCACCCATATATAAGGGCATTTCAACAATTATCTTCCTCACATATTATTGCCCTCCTCCATGATAATCTTTCCAACTCTAACCTTTCTTCAGATCAGCCCTTAATACGAGAGCGGCATAACTGGTCGGATATGTGATATAAAGACCGGCTGCTTCAACAAAGCTCATACCTTCCGGGATGGCAATTACATTGGAGATCTGTACTACAATGCGCTCGGCAAATCCACCCTGGCCACTACCGAATACTCTATCTCCTGGTTTCAAAGTGGTCTTGGCACCAGGGCTGACTTTTAATATTACACCAGCGAACTGCGAAATCGATAGACGTGAAGCGAGGAAGTTAGAAGGGTTATCAAAGTAGAAGTTACATAAAAGCTATGAATACGATTACCTCTGCACCCGGAACAAAAGGAAAAGGCGGCTTGATCTGATATTTTCCTTGTACCTTTTACGATGGAGGTGATTCAAAATATGATCAAGTTTTGAAGACGACAATTCTGTTCAACCAATCTGTATGATATTTACCACTAAAATGTCAAAGAAATTCAATGCTGCAGCTTTAATTTCAACCAAAATTTGGTCTTTCCCCAATGTTGGTTCAGGAGCGTTGGGGTCAACGACCATTTCGTCGATGGATCTTAACCATCGGTCTTTGACTACAATTGCTTTCATAATTCTGCATGAATCGTGAGTCGGGGGCATAGACAGTATTAATATGGCGTGCAACGTACCGCATTATTGGCTGATTGACAATTCATGTGATCGTTGTCAGATCATCTGTCGATTGTATAAGCAACTAACACTATTTTTAAATTTATAATTCAGATGTTAATATGAGCAACTCTGAAAATAAAGTCTCGAAGACAATACGATTGGGTGACTGGAATTCTTATATCCAGACAAATGAGTTTTGAAAATGCCATCCACAGTCAAAGTAAATGTCTAGTTTTCTTTATTATCAACATCGAGAATGTTTTTACTATTATTATCGTTATAAACAGCACCAAAGGTAATCTTAATATTAACGATAATTTGTTTATTATTGTGCTAAAAATGTCAAATCAACTGAATTCGTCTCAGCAGGTGTTGTGAGACAGTTGACTGCGGTATTTGAAATACGGCTGCGGATATTATATTGTTTGTTGCAGCATGCCCAAATATGTGGGGGTGTCAATTGATTACTATTACTGCGGATGTGGGAAAATTACCCACACAATCGGCTAAGGAGGTGTCGATTGACGCTGCGGATGAAATATAAAAATACGTGAAATGTGACGATTGGCAATAATAATAATCAGGAAATTCTTTCAATCGATTCGCGACAAAATGTCCAGCATTATCTTAAATGGATGTGCCATCGTTCTCTCGGGCAAGTTTGAACAAGGGTCACAATCGTATCTCCAGTCGATCATCAAAACGCATGGCGGAACGTTCAACTCAACCATCACCAAAGGGACTACACATCTTGTTGTGACTGAGAGTGACTACGAACGCAAGAGTGCCAAAGTGACCGCTGCACTCGCGAGAGGCGATATCGAAATCCTCACCTGGGATTGGATTGAAGAATGTATCAAAGAGAAGAAACTAGTCGACCCGAAGAAGTATCCGCCTGGTGGCAAGCTAGTAGATATGGACATTGAAATAACAAAGGAGCAGGATAGTCAGAACGATAATGCAACGCAAAACGTTAACGAACATGAAACTGACAAGAAAGTCCCTGTAACGAAGAAGCGACAAACTCGAAAGAAAACAAAAGATGATGATCAACCTAAGATCGATTCGGCCGACGACAACCCAATTACCAACACTGATGCAAATCGCGACGAGCAGAAGCCTCCAGCCAGAAGGAAACGACAGACAAGAAAAAATTCAATAAAAGATAGCAGTCAGCCCGCGACTGACAGCAACAGTCCAACTGCAGACGTGAACAAAAATGAGGATGAACAGAAAGTTCCAGCAAAAAAGAAGCGACGAACAGGGAAGAACGCAGCGGCGAAAGTTGATGATAACCTTCCGACCACTACGGACAACGACGCCAGTTTGAATAGCAACACGAACGACACTTCCAACATCACTACTTCCGACGCTAGCACGAAAAAGACCAAGAAACGCAAGACAGCCGCCAGTGACCCGGTCGACGAGCCCAAGATGGTCACGATAATCAAAAAAGGAAAAGCGCCCGTCGATCCAAACTTCCATTCTCATGAAAGCTATCATGTCTACGCGGATTCCCTTGGTCATATATGGGATTGCATGCTCAATCAAACCAATGTGGGTGCGAATAATAACAAATTCTTTGCTATACAACTTCTTAAACATGACAGCAGCGAAACTGGCTACGTGACTTTCACTCGCTGGGGACGTGTTGGATACACTGGCCAATCAAATATATATGGTCCTACAAATGAGTGGGCTGCAAGAGCAGAATTCGAGAAAAAGTTTAAAGCAAAGACGGGTAATAAGTGGGCGGATATCCTTGTTGATCCAGACAGTTTTGTAAGCTTTCAAGGAAAGTACACGTATCTGCAAAGAGATTATGGTGATGATCCAGAAGGTTTAGAACAGGCCCGAGAAAAAAGAAAAAAGAAGAAAACACCAAAGAGCAAGTTACATCCGCTTGTTCAGGATGTAATCAAGATGATGTTTGATTCTAGGTTATTGAAAGACACTTTAGTCTCTATGAATTATGATGCGCGAAGATTACCACTTGGTAAACTCTCGAAGAGTACTATCAACAGAGGTTACGAGATCTTGCGAAGAATCGAGAAAGTGATTGACGGAGAAGTGCGCGGCAATTTGGTTGACTTATCCAATGAATTTTACACAGTTATTCCTCATAGTTTTGGAATGAGCGTTCCGCCCGTCATTAATTCTGTAGAGATGTTAAAGGGAAAAGTCGACATGATAGAAGCGCTTGGTGAAATACAAATAGCAACCTCCATCATCGATGAAACTGAAGAGTCAAATACCATCAAACATCCAATTGATGCCAATTACGAACGTCTTAACCTTGCTAGGATGGATCCACTTGACCATGATAGCGAGGAATTTAAAATACTCGAAAAATACGTGAGGAATACTCATGGAGATACGCATAGTTGGTTTGACTTGGAGATTCTTGAAGTTTATGATATAGAACGTCAAGGAGAGCGCGAAAATTTTAAGAAGTTACACAATCGCATGCTTCTATGGCACGGATCAAGAAGGACAAATTTTGCCGGTATTCTGAGCCAGGGTCTTCGTATTGCTCCTCCACACGTTCCGCACTCCGGCTACATGTTTGGGAAAGGTGTCTATTTTGCCGATCGTGTATCAAAGTCAGCAAATTACTGTTGTGCAGCCGGAGGCGATGTCGTTTTTATGTTGTTGTGTGAAGTTGCACTTGGGGATATGTTAGAATTGGTCACGAGTGACTATGACGCGTGCAATCGAGTGAAGAATGAAGGAAAACACTGTACAAAAGGATTGGGTATGATCGAGCCCGATTTCGGCGATGTCATGTACTTGGATGATGTTGTCGTCCCTTGTGGAAAGACTGTGACAAATGAAGGAAGATATTTACAGTATAATGAATACATCGTCTATGATACTAGTCAAGTACTGCAGAAGTATTTGTTGAAATTGAAGTTTGATAATAGATACAGATAATATGAACTAAGGAGAGGAGCTATAGTACGAATGAAAGCACTGGCTTTTTTGGTCAGACATCACAAAGTTATACATGCAGTTACGCACTAGCAATATTAAATGTACAGAGAATACATAAGGTATTTAAATCACCAAATAGCATGCAAAATCATTTAATAATATTTAAAAAAAATTACAGATCAAAGTTCTTGTGGAATAGTCAAGAACACAATAAAAATATATATATATGTCTATGCTTTACACTGCAAATATACTCTCACATCGTCCGCCATCCCCCCAAGTCAAATATTTGTTCCAGTTTCCTAGCGACATGTATCGCAATACCATGTGTCAACCATAACTTGCGCAATTCATCGTAGCGTTTCTGATTTAGGAATTGTGGGCGACCGCGTCTTTTTTTTTTTTGTTTGAAGAAAATAAAGTATAAAAGTTAGTTCAACGTAGACAAAAAAAATAAAAACCGACAACGGTAGATGACCTACTTTAATCCCAAGTCGACTTCTCCATGCGTGTCCAAGTATGGTGCATTCATGAAGCAACCATTATCTCCATGTAATAATAAAAGCACGCACTTCTTCACTAGTAAATACATCCCAATATTCCCAGCACAACTATTAATTTATAAGGATATAGTCATTTTTAGTCGATGGTATAGTATACGCTTCTTAATCATATGCATATAATTACTCATACTTACCACCGCGCATGTATATTACATTCTCCTCCATCCTTTCCTGAACAACAATAACTCTGAAAGCAAACGAAATCCCCGCACAACAAGCACAGAGCAGGATCATTTGGTACTGAATTACACTTCTCACATACTTTCCGAATACTAATCTCAAACAAAGCATCCAATCTCTTCGGCAATCCGACAAGCTCGAATATGGCTGGATGATTTAACCTTATCTTCGTCTCTGCTACGCGTAGTGGTGACGTTTGATTCGTTGACAGTATTGGATGTGCATGGAACTGTGCCTGTGATGACGATGAGGAGACATTAGGTGAGACCGTATTTGCAGCTCTGTTTGTAGACCTTACAGAGACACGAGAGGAGTCTTGTCGCCAAGAATATAGCCGAGAACACCATCCATTCATTATGATAGCTAATACAGCATCATCACCAGAACGTGATTCAGGTATCGCAAATATCTCGTCAAGAGAAGGTAATCTAAACAATTTATACAACCGCGTGTGCTCATCCACTTCATCCATCTCTAAGCTTTCTAACCCAGGCTTCGGATAAACTACCCCAAATTTTGCATTCATCAAAATTGCACATTTACGTAAGAATGGAAGAGAAAATGTTTTAACCATTTTATATAGTAATGGCTCGGGTACGTCATTCAAAAAATGCATTACGTCTCTCTCACTCATTCCAGTTGTATGTAAAGCCCACGCCGCAAACTTCCTGATAGATGCAAATTCTCGTTGTCGTTCTTGTGCTTGTTCATAATTGGGGTTACCAATACTAACGCATGGATTATCGACCCATCCACGTGTCTTTGGGTCCATGCTCGATTCACCGATTGCAATAACTATTCTCACTATTTCTGCTATATATAATAGCCGCATTAGATGATGGAATTCAAACTGTACAAGCGAAGCTGGATACATTGATATCTCTGCTAACACTAAGAATGGATCCTCGAGCAGGAAGGGCCCCACTTTTAATTTAGCTAAGAATGCATTCGGAGAACCTGCCTTATTGTCCTCTGTTGGGAATGCTGGATGGTCTGCAAATATCTCTCTAAACTTTTGAGCGACAAATTTCTTCAACTTGGCTTCGCCTAATGGTACGTTAACCATTATATTTGTGTATTTAGGTATTGTTTCCGACAACACTCTTAATAGAGTCAACATCTGAGTGCTAATACTGTCTACTAGAGTGAGACTTGGTAGACCATCAGCCGATATGCTTGCCACTCCTCTCTGCGCGATTTCAACACAAGTTATCGTGCCTCCCAATAATTCCCATAACATATCAACTGACTTCAACAAATAAACACGCGCGTTTGGACCTTCCAAGGGAGTCAATTGCTCCGACGTTATTCGAAGAACTTCGACGAGACGCTCGTACATTTTTCGTGTGTCTTTATCTTCATCCTCAGTCATTGTGGATGCATCAACCACAGAAGCAGGTGATGAATTGGGTTCGTTGCTACTAATTGAGGAAGCCGGTTGCCTCCAGAATTCATGCACTAATTGGTTTATGGCCTCACGGAATCTGCTCGTATTAATGCTACTTCTTCTTCGAGGTTGCGGCGGCAGACTAGAAGTTGTTTCAAGTAAAGCACCATAATCATTGGTGATGCCGGCTACTGCAGCACTAGTAGATGCAGGAAGTTGTAATTGAATTGATTTCTCTAATTTCTCCAAATTCGATAGAACTTCTTCATTAAGCCATGTGTTGAAATCTGTCTTTGGTTCCAATACACCAGGGAACATCTCCTTCTTGGTTTTCCAGACTATGGGCAAAAGCGCGTTACCAAGACTTTTGCATAACGGACACATGAATTCTTTGCGCTTCACGTCTTCAGGATGATTACGAGCCAACTGTGATTGGTGTCGTTGTTCCAGAGATGCAAAGTATGTCTCAAAGCATTTAACGTGCATTAAGTGTCCACACGTTGACGCATATAAACCGGGTCTACATGAATTTGAAGGAAAGCCTTTGCTCAGCAGCGGTTTGTCTAGATTCTCCTCGCTAATACCAGGTGTATCATGAGAATCACACAATTTAGAAGCAACGCCATACGGTACCGTGCGATCATACTTTCTGTCTAAACTCTCAGGCAGCTCAATGATTTCCATCACATAGTCTTTGTCATCAAAAGGTGTCTGTCTCATCATAGAAGATGGCTGTATAAGACCGAGCATGCCGTACATTTGAGATGCAGTTGTTTCTTCTTGACATACAATGCACGTACCACTAGGATAATGCCACAAGGTCTCTAGTTTATGTACTTCATCATTATCTGCGTGCTCTTCATCGCCTGTTATTTCCCAATCTTCATCCATGTCTTCATCCTCCCCATACAAATCTTCATGTTTCTCAATAAAACTTTGTTGCGCTTTCGCAAATTGCTCCATAATCTTCGCCTGACGTTCTTTAGCTGCTCGCTTCTTACGCTCATATTCCGATAATTCTGTCTCTTTAGAATTCTTTTGTTTCGACTGAGTTTCGATCTCCTCTCGGAAATTCTTGATCGTGTTTCTTGCCTGATCATTGCCGAGTTTTTCGAAGTTGTCGATTATGAATTGGAGTTTTGCGTGGAACTCTTTGAATGCCGTATCTACTGAAAGATCAAGCAGGAATTCAAGTAGATTCTCCCTTTTGAGAGTAGTTGTTGGGAATCGGTCATAGACTGCATGATCCAAAAACGACGGTTTCTCTTGTGCTCGTGTTGATGAAGTATCCATTGCCCGTGATTTACCTTTTCTATCAATCATGTTCGCATAGCCTTTATTTTCATCCAATAGCGCCATCATTATCAGTTGCAAAGCTTCATCGACTAACGTATCTGATTTAGTAAAATCCGACTTTACGTGCCGTAGTGCATAGTAAATAATCTGATTCATAAGCCGTGTGTGAAGTACATCTCCCAAATTAATATATGGTCCAGAAGTAATGGGTATTAATTTAGGAATTAGAATTGGTTGTACACTCTTTCCTTGCGATTCGAGCTTCTTCTTTAATCTCATTTTCAATACTTCTTCTGCTTCTTCACGATTATTCCTTGTGTAATGGACAAAATAAGGGTCAACTTCATCGAAAAAGTCATCCTTTAGTTCGTAAGTGCCATGATCGGTTAGGCTGTCAGGAGGACGATATGTAGCCAAGTAAGATAACATTTTATCGAACTTTGAATCCTCATTCAGGCGTTCAGGAATGCGCTTAGTAAGTTCAGAATAAGCTAAAGGACCAAGGCAAAGTCCGTGTATTATCTCTCGTCTAATTTTTTGTTCTGAATCCAACCCAGCCGCATTTCCGCGTTCACTCACTAGTACAATCAACAACGTTAAGAACTCTTCAGCCACAAATATCGATTGAGTACGATCATATAATGTAAATGTTTGGCGTCCATTCACCCAGTATACTAATTCGAATCTGTCTACTATTGTAGCAAGTACCAATTCAGGGTCCAAGACAGCGAGAGCTGTCTGCACAAGGAATAAGTCTTCATCATAGGTATTTTCGCGCAACGATACCTCCCGATAGTGGTGACATTGACCTCTAATACCGAATCCATTTCTGACCCATATTCCAGCCCTAATCTGTATTAAGAGAACAAGAACTCGAAGCGGATAATCGAATGCAAGTTGAAGTCTTCTTACGTCTAAATCCGTTATCTCTGAAACTTCGGTACTCGATAGCATCATATTCTTGAAAGTAGGTAAACTATTGTGAGCCAGTATAGTATCGTCGAGAAGTTTGATACTCTCCAGAAGCTCAGCCAAAAACCAGTGTAATGGATTATGAAAGCTAACGGGCTCAGATGCGACGTCAAATTTCACCACTTTAAATTCCAGATGTTTTGGGTGGCTACCGAAGCGTATGGTATGAAAGTCTTCACTTTTGGCAATCAGGTCATCGTTATGTTCCCCATGCGATATCTTATCAATGATACCATACTTCTTGGCCTTTCGTAACCAAGCAGCAATTTTCTTTTCATCATTTTTACCATCACCTCTCGTCAAAATCCATTCGTACATCTTTACAAGTACTTGCCGGATGGTATGGATAAGTACTCGGGAATCTACATTATAGCATTCAGACATCTGTCGGCAGCTTTTTGCCATTTGCAGAGTGAGATTAAATGCATGAATCCACGAGTCATTTTCATATTCTACATGTTGCTGTGTAGCGCGTATATTTGGATTCATTCCTTGAAAGAGCATTATCAAGTCTAAATATAGCTTCAAATATTGAGGGTGCTCAGGAATTGCTCTTTGCGTTAAACTGGGAGTAATGACATACTTTAAATCGTAAAAAATATGGAAATAGCGGCGGTTTTTGAATGCATCTGATTCGCAACTGATCCTTGCTTTTCGATCTATTGACTCCATTCCTCCAATCTTATCTTTTGTAAAGAAAGTATGGAGTATAGCGAAGATAGTTGAAGGAAAGTTGTATTGGTTTACTAACATTGTTGCTATCGTTGGAACGGTGAAGAGCTGGATGGAGAAGAGAATAATGCTATGTTCTGGTTCACGATCTTTAGTCAGAAAAGCCTCGACTAAATCACGATAGTTTCTAGCAAAACGAACACCTATAATTGAAACAGAACCAATTGATAAGGGAAAAAGTTAACAAAACTGCATTATAGTATACTGCGGCAACTTACCCATATATGTTTTGTAAATTGGATTTACTACTAGGGTTCCAATGTACAGTTTCCACAAGCCCGCTCTTGCTTCTTTCCATAACCTCAAATCAAATAGTAAAAATTGGTCCAATCGTAACGTTTTCTTGAAATCTTCAACATTGGCCTTAATGTTATTAGCTTTTATCTCTTCTCGTGTCTGCATAGTATAATCTTCGTCCATAGGTTCAGCATCGGCCCCCTCTTCTAATGGCATAATATAATCTCTTGGTTCGTATAATATAGCTTCCGAATCGACATCATCCTGAATCATAACATCATCTTCATCACTCATATAATCAAAAGGTACGGTGTCCATATCGTCGGCCGCAGTTGAATGTCCAGAATTTGGTTCTCTCCATTCTCTGCAGAGCTCTTCACAAATCATGTCACGTAATAATGTTGGATGAGAACCTATTTTTCCAGTCGACAGGTCTCGTAACCAGTTAATAAATAATCCACACATTGCTTCTCTAAATGTATCACGTGCTGAGCGAACAGTGACTGCTAGATTTATATTTGATATTTTCTTGGCTTGATCAAGTAACAAAGGGAGGTCATCCGAAATCGTAACAATTTCTCTGCCCTGTATGGATAGGATAGATATACATTAAATAGTAGAAATATTAGTTATTGAGATGTATATAATCACAGCTTGATTTTTTAATTGTCCTACATACATATGAGTCAACTTTTTCAGCTATCTTCTTTGCATCGAGTTCAGTGCATTTAATGGCGTCTTCGACGTGAGCAATGACTTCATTAAAACTATGCTGTTCGTCGTTCCAAAGAACAACAGCGAATAATGTCTCTTCCTCATGTCCCTCATGCAATCCCTTTTTTATACACTTTGCTGCCTGTCTTGCTTCTTTTTTTGCCGATTCGGCATCCTCGGGCACTTTCATACTGTCTGGTGACGCATAGAATGTTTCCAACATGAAATCTAATACTGTAGATATTGTACTTTGAACTGAATCAAGAAGATCTTGCGGCAACAGTGATTCGTATTGTTTCTTCTCGAATTCATGCAATTCTGACGTCGATGGATCAGATGTATGATATGCACAATTAATAGGAACTTTCCATGCTTCGGGATCGCCACAATCACAACAACCTCCCGAGCTCGCGGTTATTGAGAACGTTACATTATGGCCTTCATGGTTCGTGGCATGGAAACAACGAACACAGAATACGCAGGTATCATCTAGACCACAGTTTCTGTATTATTAAGTTTCACAGAATTCAATGAATGTTAGGTTCATAGTAGGAATAATGTTAGGTTCATATAGTAGGAAGCATATTGGTTGAATCGTTTGATTGGATGCACTTCAACAATATTGTAATAAATAAATAATCAGAATCAGAAAAGACTTTATATAATCTCAGTATTAAATATATTGAAAAAGCAAGGGAAAACTATTTATTAAAATTAAAGCTCGATCTTTATTGAACAAATCTATGCATATTAATCAGACTACAGTTTGAAAGTCTCAATCTATCCTAATTCTCGTTTGCCGTTCATTCATCATCATTCAGCTTGCTGTTTAATACTCACTTGCAATGATATACACTCTCTCCCTTCTTAAACACGTGTCCACACATCTTTCCCTTGTGCGCAGTTGTATATTCTCCCACTTCGCTTTGTGCAAAACTCAGTTTATATGCGAACGGACCGTCGCCAGGTCCATCTGGAAAGAATAACGTTTTGTATTCTTCATTTGCTTTCCAGAACTCTGAAAACAGTCTTTCCAAGATCAGGACACTGGCCCTCTCACTAAAGCGGTAGTCAAAAAGCTTCGGACATAGGTTCAGGTACTGCTCGAGTGAAAGTGTTGACGGTTGCGGGTGAGTGTTCATTAAATATGGATTATGTAAAAGAAATGACAAGAGAGAATATAGTGAAAGAAGAAAGTAGTAAGTAAAACGTGAAAGGCGTGAAAGAGGTAATTCTGCTACAGAAAGTCACCAGGGAAACAAATACTTCATAACTATTGCATGTCAGATGATTGCGTCTTCACTTGGACGATGACGTCTTAATGTTAATGCGGTCAGGTTTCAGGGGTTGACAACACCTGTTTTGGCAACTTTTGCTTCAACTCCCCAGTGATCATTATTACGAATATGGGCCACATTAACATTCTTTAATGTGAACAAAATGCTAATTTATTGAAAGCCGGGTATGTCTTTTTATCGGCAAAGCACAAACAACCCAATTGTTTATACATTGTTACTTACATATAAATTATCCGGTATTGCTTTGTCAGATTTCTTGGTTTACATCCCACCATAAACAACAACAATGACATTTAATTAACATATTTATTCCTGTATATCGAGTCGCAATAATTTATATTTTTGCAAGCTTTTCGCCACAACATCTACCATTCAACGAATTCAGTCACTCATACTCACATCATGTTAGACAGCTGGCTTTGTTTTCCAGAAGCATCATAAGCTCAGTATCGGTAATTCTTTACTTCTCATAATTACTCAAAATGCTTTGCCCGCTTCGACTTGATCTAGGGTATTAATATGGGTTTTCCATTGGTATATCGGTGGGTATTCTTGTTCGAATATTTTTGTGCGATTATCAGTCACGGACGATTCCAAATCTTGAGCCAGCAATTGTTCATGTCAATGTCAATCCTATCAATCCTGACTTTTTATTTACTAGAATGGATAGTTATGCTCAAATCTCTCCAACATGTATTAATAAGATAATCACGTCCAACCATCAATGATATAACAGTTTCGCTATTTCCGGAAAGAGATCGTCACTTCGCAGCAATGATTCAAAAACACGATGATCTCTCACACAACCGAAAACGTTTACTTCAATGTCGAACTCTACGCCAAAGTCGCATATTTCCCTTACCACAAATATGGCTGCCAACTTGGATTACGTTCAAACAGTTAAATCTAGGTTGGTACAGCTGAACGAGTCACAGGCAACGTTTCTGGATAAATTTGGGAGTGCAGACAATAATTTCACTTGGTAAGAATGTTGTCTCCATATCTTACTGTTTCCGTTCTGGTGGTCTAACTAATGCCTCTTACGTATCTCATTAAGGCCAGACTACTTGTCAAGCTTAACCATTCTTCTCTCCAAGCACATAAATTTATCTAATACACTAATTGATTCCAATTTGCGCAAACTCACACTATATCCTAAAGAAGCTCTGCCACCTGAATCAGAACACATTCTCGCCACACTTCTCCGTACGAAGCAGATACCCGAAGTATCTAATCTCGAACAGGATATTCTTTCTTCGATAACCGTTCAAGAAGGCCTCGAGTCGCAGGAGGCTGAGGCTAATTTAGACAAGGAAGATGAGGAACGATGGGATGCATTGCTTAAAGAATGGGTAAAGAGGTATGAGGTTCATGACAGAGTGTGCACAGAGGCAGGGAGGATATGTGAGGATATGCTCGGTGCTAGAGAGAGTACGAGGAGATTGGAGGGGATAGGAGATGATAAGACTGAGGAAGAGAAGGATGACATTACATTGGAGGATGTGCTTAGTTTTATATCCAGTGGAGTACAGAATGGCAAGGGACCTACCATTATTCGGTGAATGAGAGGAACATATCAAAGAGTAATTTTGAGTAAATCAGTCTCAGTTCATAAACAAACAAACAATTTTTTGTAATAAAACGTTGTTCGTGACAATGTTATTTAGTATTTGTTCTATGAATTATAAACACGAATAAATACGACAGCTGTAGATTGAGAATATAAATGTAGAAAGACTACCCTCACTAACGTCGCATGTATTTCACCAATCTTTCCCATTATAGTCACTAGCAAACTCGCTCTATCTTCAGTCAAACACTATTCCTCGGTGACCGGACTAGTTAGAGTTAGATAAACTGAAGAATATTTTGAACATGCGCTGGGTTCTGAAGAACAGATTTAAGTAGTTTTAGTAATCGAGCGGTATTAGCCTCGCATTCTCGCGAAACTTACCAGAAGCGACAATTTAGCGAAGAAACAATGCGCGGCAGAAACAGACGCGACAAGGCATAGAAAAGGCTATAAGAAGACTCGATGAGTTTCGCCTCTCAGGCAAAATATCCGAGCAATTCTCCACACATGCATTGAAGCAAGTTTGTACTAGAATGGCCAAACTAACGAAACTTACGAATTGGTGATTGGTTGGAGTTTAAAGAATCTGAAGTGAATACAGTGAAAGAGCAAAGAAAACTTGGCCACATTTATCGCAGTATAGATACGGTACTGGACAAAGCGTTGAAAATGGTTGCTTTCAGTCCTCGCTCTTGTTATATCCATCCACCATCTATTGTTATCTTACTTCATTGAAAGAACGTATTGAGATGTTGTACTGACCATTTCTCTTGTAAATTCCGGCTATGAAGTGGCCAGTTCAATTAATCTAAAATTTTGGGTATGCATTATCTCACATTTAACAACGGTTCAGAGATTTAATAAGATTTAAATTTAGGAGCAGGGGTTTCAAGAAATGCTTTGGGCGGCCTGACGGGAAGTTAACAATCAGTTTGGAAGTGTAACAGTTTTAATTGCACGCGATGGGATTGGATTTTGGGGAAATTTGGTACAAATGACGAGGGAGTTTTTTGTGGAGGGGGGTTTTTTTTTTTTGCAAACCTCAGCTTATTCCTTTATTGTCCCTTTTCACTGTATTCCTAAAACTCGATATCCATAAGTCTCAGCAAGTGGTAATACAGGAATATGATGTGTCACATTCAATATATTTGCTTCAACTTTCACAAGCGTCCTTCCCGTCTACTTCCGGAACACAACGACCTGAAAAAGCGCATGCTTCCTGTACCATTACAACATTACTCGACAGATCGGTAACCGATAAGTATCCAAAGTCCAGTACCGAGCTTTAACTCCTTCCCAGACCTTGTCCTCAGACGGATCAATTCTGATTTCCACATACTCTGTACTTAGTCCAATACTAGCTAGATGCATTTCGGCTATGCGACAATAAACATCATGAAAGAAAGGATTCGTGGCACCCAGGCCATTGAAAAACGAATACACACCCTCTGGCTTTAAGATATTTAGTAATTCTTCATGGAAATCATGTATATCATCATAAAATTCACCAAAGGTATCAAAGAAAATACCATCGTATAATTCTAACTGATCTAAAACGTCCTGCCAGCGTCCAAAAATTATCTTTACACCAGGTTTCTTGTCCCATTCATTGGCTAGCATGTGTGCGTAAACATCAGGATGTGCTTCGATAATCGTATGAGAATTTGGTTTATAAGACTGGATGTACGAATCAATTAACCCAAGACCGAAACCAACATTGAGTATATCAAGGCCTTTGTCAGTACAAATGACTTGAGCGTGCCTTTCCATAAGTGGCTTTTCCCAAGCCATCATGACCCCATTGTTTTCCGAGTCCAATAGCTTGTCACCATTGTCTGAATATTTCAGCGGCTTGGTCAAAAACTCTAGGTTTGACGGATCGTCTTTATTTCTGTCTTTACGCGAAAGCGCTCCTTATTATCAATGCCAACAATTGTAATTAGATCGCATGTTATAGCAATAAGATCAGAAGCGGAGAGACGGTTAGAAATACCTAGTATTAATTCCGCTCTACAACCTTCTGCTAATAATTGCTCATAAACTTCCTCGTGACCACACTCTTTGGCATATTCGCCTGCAGTCTTCCTATTATCATCGATGGCATTCCATGGGTGGCCATACTGCAATAACAAACTGACAATCTCTGAATTTCCAGCAGCACACGCTAAATGCAAAGAAGTGGCACCCTGTGTATATGATGAGTCAATCACTGCGCCATCAAAAGGTCCACTATCTTCGTCTAAAGTCGCTAACCTCTTCTCCTCTAGCCGAAAAGTCTGCTCCTTGGTTCAAAAGTTGTTTGATCAACTCTTTGTTCGCATCTTTTGTTGCCTGCAAGAGTAAGCTGTTAAGGTCCTGCTGAATGCTCAGGATTTCGTCTGACGCTATGGCTTCCCTTTCAGTATTATCCACCATTGATGGAATGGTTGTTGAAGTTAACAGTTTCTAATAGGTAATGTAATGTTTAAATCACATGATATTTCACGTGAGTGTATTATTATTTTATTTCGGAAACTCTATTTAATTCATTTATTATTAATTAATTAATTGATTAATTAGTTTTTAGATCTTTCCTTTCAACCCTTGCCACATAGGGAACCATACTGGTTAACCACCTTATTTCACATTCTTTGCCTTCCCCCATACAGATTGCTCTCAAATACTGATTAAATACGATCAAATAATATGAACTGAATGCGGCTAGAATATGCCACCAGCCATGTAATTCTGTGAGAAACCCAATATACGGACCAACTGTTTTTCTTGTGTTACGCAAGTGGAAACAGGCCATGTTATCCACATTCCATAATAAAAATCCAAAGACAAACATACTCAATGATTTATAGATCAAAGACTTCATTATTCTTTTCGATTCGCCTTTTGGGTAGTTGGTCATCAAAAAGATAGTGCGCAACATTAAAGCGGCTACGAGGACCCCATAGGCTAGCTGATGGAAGACTGGAGTGCGCACATAAAGATATGTCACAGTGTAGATGGCAGAGTAGCATATTAAAAATAGTGGGAACCAAAGCCCGTATTTTCGTTCTCGATCTATTTCAAAGCTATCGACAATTATAAGTTAGATTGAATAAAAGGCCTCGGTTTTTTAACAGGATAGAAATAATTCTTACAGATTATACACCAAAATACTCGACGTGTAGATCACTGTGATAGTTCAAGAACGTATGTTAGTTATACCAACGTGGGATAGATCATTCGCTGTACGTTACTCAGGTAATACTTACTTGGCAACTCATCTAACAGCTGAAATTCGTATAACAAAGTCATGTGAAAACACCATGATCCAACGCTGACCAGTGCCAACGCAGCATGAGCCAGAATAAAGCGTTTATCCAGACGATGCTTTAATATCGTATAAACACCGAAGCCGGCAAAGAACGCTTTTAGAGTAGAAGCCGTTAGCTACAACTCAAACCAACAAGTCAAGACCAAGATGCTTACCAAATATAAGATTCGTTATTGTATTCACAAACTCGGCAAAGTACGGAAAAACTTTGTAATTTTCCTTAATAAAATACAACAAGTTTAATAAGATCTTTCATCCGTACGGTAATAAACACATAGTGAGGCTCACCTCACACCAATCTAAAGTAGCGGTACTGTTAAAGTTTCAGAGAAGAAGGAATGAGCAAAAGGTACAAGTGCTTGTGTACAGAAACGCAATCAAGCGGACTCACATGGGACCCCAAAACATCGCTTCCATCTCTATAGACTTCTAAGGATTTGTGAAGACAGGTTTTTGAAGTGAGAATTTGCTTTTTGTAGTGTTTTCGAGCAATGCTGGCCACGTGCTGATAAACGCGAAAAAGCATGACGCAAGTACATTCTATATTAGGACATTCAGTGATATTTCGGGCCCTTCTATAAATATCGAGACATAAAAAAGACGTTGGGAAAAAACTCTTCCATTTCCGACAATGGTTACAATGCATGATGCTGCAAGATAATTAACAAAAAGTTTTTCCCTCCGCAGCAGTCATATGATGTGCAAATAAGGGTCGATCAGCAACGGGAGACTGCACTTTCTCGAACAAGTGCAAATAAAGTTTATACCATTTTTGAAGCCAAATGATTGTAGTTTTAATCAGCAATTTCAAAAATGTTAATGTTATCGTATGCACATTCGCTAAAGGTATAAATACGTTTTACATCGATCGATTACATTTAGTATTAGCTGTGCTTAATAAAGAATTTTCATCCGCAACAGTAATATCTTAAAGTTGCTGATACTTCTCAATTGGCACTTGTTTGAGTTTCAGTGACTTGAAACGCCCAATATTCCATATGGTTTACGAGGAAGGTGTATAATGGTGCTTGTAAATAAGAAAATGTGCTGCTATATATAGTTTTATCTAGAATCTCATCCATAATATAGACGAATATAATTGCCTAAAAGCAAAACCGGACGTAATCTAATAAATCGATGTTTCCTCCGTTCATATGTTTATCATTTCTTGCAGCCATTCTTTAACAGCTTCATCTTTACATTTCCCAATTACCTGAATTTAGCAAATCCGACACAATTCATGACCAGAAAAACTTGTATCGTATTAGAAACAATGAGTATGTATGAAAAGTAATGAAAAGGAAACACTAGAATAAATTATTAGAAAGGCAACCGATAGACATGATGTGTTTGTTTAATTACTGAAATCCGGCTGAAGCTGAAAATAACCAATGAGGTTAGAGAATAAAATCTGATCAACCAATGAAAGGTCACGGTTTCAGCTTCAGCCATATTTCAGCATCAGCCGTGACATTTATTATAAAAATAAATATATTTCCAAACATCAATACTGAACAATTTATTCTATAAAGAAAGCAAACAACAAATCGTTCAAAAATACTTGATTTCACTATTGAAATATTCTGCGAGTTGCTCACGCTTTTCACTTTTATCGCTGGTACTTCACTCTACTATAAAACTAAAACTCACAATCAAACCCGCATCATTTTTGCAAGCAATAAAATCAAGGACAACTGAATCAAATACCAGCTGCTCATTGAGCGAAAATACTTATCAAGTATACGTTTATGGAAAGATTTTAAAATTATGTGATAAAATACTTGAGCCGGACTCAGCTTTCTCGTTTAACAAAATGGCAACTGAAATCTACACGTTACGTGAAGGAAAAGGCATTGCTGCCTCAACTCTTATCCGCGAAAAACCAATCCACGTAAAATGACTGTCAAAGCAGTACAGGAATGGGTTGATAAAGAAAAGGTGAAGGAAAATGATGTGTCAATAGTAATAATAATGATGATATGTAGCATAGATTCATTAGTGCGACCAAAATATAGTATTTACTCCCATGCAATCGCTCTAGTGAATCTTCAAATATATCTACAGCCAAGACTGGATATAACGATACTTCCGTTAGGTCACATTTTTATCGTTATAGCGAGTTATCGTTAATACCAGGAATTCTATTTATAGCGATAACATAATAGTTACGAAAAAAATATCGTTATACAAGATATTACGTGTATCTATATTCAATGATATTACAAACTACATTCTGGTAACAAAATCGTCTAGCATAGACTGTTTCTTATTACTGACGTGGTGCGTTAGCACTTGTTTTCGTAAGGAGCGTACTGTTGATACAGTACTTGCATCGCAATTAAAACCTGCGGGTGGATAACGAGAAAATTGAACACATTATCCAAGCTTTCTAACACATTCTTTATGGAAACAGTCTCCTTCGGCAAGCTCTCCTTGAGAAGGTTTGGGCTTACTAGAGAGTTTAACACAAACATCTTTTTTTTGTGTAAAGGAAAACTATTAAGACTCTTACAAAGCTACTGGTTGCATGGCCAGATCCTGCTGAATTGCATATTTCACCAAAAAAAGTATGCACATGAAACGAATGTATCCTGTAATTTATGCTGAGACGACTATGGATGATTCGTCAGAACAAGGGGGCTGTTCATCTAGTAAGTGCCAAGGCAAACGTAGAATGCATGAAAATTAAAAAAGGGAATTTGATACACAAAACATGTTGATAAAATCCATCACTTAAATATTAGTAAGATAGGAATAGTCATACGCAAATTGTATGTTTCTATAAGCAATGGTGTTTTTGATTCAAATACAGGTAGAAGAATAAAAAATATATACATAGGATTACCCGTATATGGAAAATTACAATTATAATAGTTCTACCGAATTTGAAAAAGTAATACGTTTCTTGGCGATAGGTTGTAATTGTGGTTGCTCAAAAATAGTTCCGAGAGAAAAGTTTGTCGAATTACGTGAAGTATTTCAAGCTCTCTCTAGATCTGAGCAAGATATATTTTTAATGGCCCAGTTGAAAGCAATGAATGGTGGAGAAATAACTGCCAGCCGATGTCTTAAAAGACATAAGAAAACTTTTTCTTATTGAGATCGCAATACGCCCCTCATGGTATAATACCGCGCATTCACGATAACATCAAACGAGTACCGCGATGGAAAACCAAAATAACCATTAATATAACCGTTGCTACCGCCGTGAAAAATTTTCTCGAAAACTATGCTGAAATTCATGGACTACCAAGTCCTGGTAGAAAATGTCAATCGCATTACTCAATCGCTTACACTTTTGCCAGCTGAAACGAGTTACAAATCGGTCTATCGATATTTTATTGCAGGTCTCGAAACCGATAGTACATTGAAATTGTTAAAATATGACGCATTCCGCAAGTTATGGCACCAACTAACGCCTTATATTCAAATCACGAGTTCACAAACGGATTTATGTGACACGTGCCAACATTTTCGGAACAGCTTACAGTATAATGCTCGTAAGGAAGAAGAAGCGAAAGACTTATTGAAAAAATTCAAAGAACATTTAGTTAAGGCTAAGTTAGAGAGAAACTATTACAATAAAAATACGAAATTAGCAGAACAACAGAGAAAATTGGTGAGCATTTTATAAAAGAGGTAAAGTTGATTATTGTAGCGTTGATTACAATTATGATTGGGCACAAAATGTTCACGTTCCACATTCAGATCAACAGGTAAGTAAGATTTATTATCTTAGACCGCGTAAAGTACATTTATTTGGTATACAGGATGAAGCAGTACGCGAACAAATTAATTACGTTCTTGATGAAGACGAAATAATAGGCAAAGGCCCTAATGGCATACTGAGCATAGGATTAAGAGATTGAATAAACGTGAAAAGCATTTAAAGATTACTTGCAATAATGCGGGAGGACAGAATAAAAATAATGCTACCCTTTAATTTTACCTCTATTTAGTAATTTGCGGTTATTATGAAAGTATCGAATTAAATTTTATGATACCTGAACATACTAAATTCAAGTGTGATGGTAGTTTTGGATTAATTAAAAAACTTTACTGCAAAACAACAGCGGATTGTGTGGATCACATTGCTGAGGGTGTGAAAAGATCGAGTACAGCGGCGGGATTAAACAAAGCTCAATGTTATGACAATAGAAATGGCTTTCAGTACTTAGATCTTAATTCCGTGTTGGAAATTTTCTTTAAGAAATTGAATGGTTTATAAAAATATCAGCATTTTCTTTTTGAAGCAGCTCGACCTGGAGTTGTCAAAACCCAGCTAGTTACTAATGGTGCTTTTACTGAATTCAATTTATTAAAAACCAAAAAAGCAAGTGTTTCTGAAATTATCCAAGAAATTAAATCTTTACCATTTTAGGGCCTTCTCAACAGCTTGATGCCCCGATCAAATTTGGAAATCGATGATAAAAATGGAAATTATTTGGTGGGGGGTATTCCTAAATTGGAAATTGTTTATTTTTCATATGAACATAATTCAGATCGATGTGACGAGAGCAGCATATGGGATAGAACATACATTATTTATTAACTTGAGTCAAGAAATCTTCTTTTTTCTTCATATTCATTGCAATGCCTAAGAAGCAAAAAAAAAAAAAAACCAACCTCGGATCCTTTATTACACAAACACCCACAACGTATGCGGGTTTGATTGATACAAATGATGATAATAATGTTGGAGGGTGTCCAGAATGGCTTT